TAACTCATAGATTAAACCCTGAAACAACCTCTGGGCTGATTTAAGTCAGGGCATGGATAACTCACAGATTAAACCCTGAAACAACCTCTGGGCTGATTTAAGTCAAGGCGTGGCTAACTCACAGATTAAACCCTGAAACAACCTCTGGGCTGATTTAAGTCAGGGCGTGGCTAACTCACAGATTAAACCCTGAAACAACCTCTGGGCTGATTTAAGTCAGGGCGTGGCTAACTCACAGATCATATTCTGAAACGACCTCTGGGATGATCTAAGTCAGGGCATGGCTAACTCAATGATCGAATTCTGAAATTAAACCCTGGACTGATCTAAGATCTTGGTTGATTAAAGTCAAATCAAATCACAGCTAGCTCTCAGATGATGCAATATTGGAATTTAGAGTGTTTTGGGTCAGGAATGAAAAGAAGTGAGTGCACTAACTAACACTACACCATCCTTGATATGCAAATGACATGTAAATCAGAGATATACTCACTCATCATTGGTGTACAGAGCAAGTGAATGGCCTGTGAAGTCCGCTGTGTTGCAATCCAAACCAAATTTATCATACACCTCTTGCATGGTTGTCTTTTTGGGATCAACACCTAGTAACAAACAATCGAAGGATATGAAGTTTCTATGGCTTAAAATAATGGCAGATCAGTCAGCAGTCATGATTACAGGCCAAATTAGTTTCAGCTCAGTATATCTTGTTTCTGGCTCAACGATACTGGTCAAAATGACTAGCAAGGCAAAGGTTTGACTGGACTATTTTTAATTCTGGCAGAACATTGTCTGATGACCGTCCACCGTATTTTAAGACCTGTGTATTTTTTTCAAAGATCCAATGTATAAAGCAACTGCTGATTTAGAGAAGGCGACACTTGACAGTTGTGAATGATAAACTGGGGGTGTTTAGCATCTCTCTCTATTCTACATGGTCATCCCAGAGGCATCCATGCCATGGTGAAGGTCTGACCATGCTCAGATATAATTTTGAAATAAAAGATTCCAACTTGTACCAGGTATCTTTAGATCCACAATCTCTTGGTTTCTACGAATGTGTATCATAATAACAATTATTGTTATTAATTACTGACTGACATGTGTCAATCAACAATATTGGCCAGCAGTCGATGGGCGGCCGTTGATGGGTTAATGATGAACTAAATGATTGGCCAACAGTTGGCAGAATGCTGATTGACACAAACTAATCAAAAGAATTGCATGATTACCCATTTTCAAAAAAAAAAACAACTAAAAACAAATTCTTACCTTGCCAGGTCTTGGAGTCCTCTGGATCAAAATCATTAGTAAAAATAAGGAATTTCCTGAACCTTCTCTTCTCAAAGATTCCCATCAAACTGGTTGCCAAGGCCTCTTTCTCATCTGCAGGAACTTTATAAATCTTTCCACCTTTAAAAACATAACTGCCCTTGATGCTCTTAAACTCAAGGTACCTGGTCACTCCACTGAGGATAAGCATTTGTACTAGTTCACCTGAAATAAATTATCATATATAATCAGTCTTGAAGGCATTTCTCTGAAACGCAAATGAATATACCATAGATCTATTTCTAATATAAGGGTGCTTTCCATAAAGTCAAACCAATATTGTTCCGAGAGCCAATTCTCAAATGGTATGCGTCAGTTCATAGAACTGGTTTGGGCCACATTAGTCCAACCAACCAATTATTAGTTTGACTTTTTTTTTAACCAATCATTATTAGTTAGGAATATAACAGCACATTCTCATACCCAGACCCTTCTCACCAAAAAATCGAAGGCTCTGCTAACACACAAACCGGAAGACCCAGATTTTAGGTCATCAGATATGCACATGCTCCACATATTCTGACTTCCGGTATAAATTCAAACAATCTTTTTTTTCTTCAAAAGAAAAGCAATCAAACTTATTTATACATTGTTTATGGAAAAGTCTATTTGTCTGTGATTAAAAGTCAGAAAAATAAGCAATTAGTGAGACCCTCTGTTGTGTACAGTAAAGTATTCAAATTTCGACCATTGACTGTAAAATCAGCAAACCGGAAACAGAAGATTTAGCAAAAATTTCAACCAATCAAATTAACGATCGATTTGTATGTTACCAGAGCCTTTGATTTTTTGTTAGAAAGCTGAGAAAGATTTGGGTACCAGAATGTACAACAGCAGTGAAGATGGCAAAGTTGGACAATGGCAAATAGCTTGTTTCCAAAATGGATTTTAATGTGCACACCGTTGTCCTAAGCATCTTCATTGTGTCTAGAATATGAAAAAGCCCAAACTGATGTTATAGCGAGGAAAATAACAATAAGGTTGATGGCACACACATGAAAAACTGTTTTTTTTCACTCATTATATTGTCCAATGTTGTCATCATCTCTCCAGTAGTGGATCTTAAGGTCATTATTGTTTAGTCTTTATCTAATCAGCTATACATGATATATATATTAACCTCCTGCCATAAGGAACTTTGGCACCAAGTCAACATTCCAGTCCCTTTCTTTGCCATACTTGTCATGACCTTCTTTCTTGCCAAATTTCTCAAACAACTTTAAACAAAGAAAATGAAAGGTTATTCCAGGTTCATTTGTTATTTATCAATCCTCTGGGAATTCTGTTACAAACATCTAAAGAGCATATAATATCCACTTTCATGGTTACTTGGGTATTTTATTTGTGTTATTATTGAAGCATCATTAATTTGATTAGCACCATAGAAACATTACGTTTTTATTTCTGATGGAAAGTTCAATTTTGCTAAACCATGTAACAACCTATAGCCTGGTCTAATTAAGGGCATGGTTAATTCATAGATGAAACCCAAAAACAACCTCTGGGCTGATCTAAGCCACAATGTAACTACAATGTAACTCGCAGATTGGACCCTGAAACAACCTCTGGGCTGATCTAGTTAGTTCACGGCTAACCCACAGATGGAACCCTGAAACAACCTCTGGTCTCATCTAAATCAGTTCACCGCTAACTCAAAGATGGAACCTTGAAACAACCTCTGGGTTGATATCAATTAAGCCATCAATTATTGGAATTTAGTGTGTTGGGTTGATTTGGGATGACTGCATGTACCAAAATAAGCAAATCAAAAAGAAAGCAAAAGAAAAGTTTCTCTCTAAAACATAAAATACTATAAACTGAACACTCCCAATAAAACAAACTACATAATAATTTTTTTACCATATTAAGGGGTGAGAGTGATGCTGTTTCACCTCCGTAGTACTTCTCTCTGTCCATGTGAAGGACTTTCTTGCCATTCACAGACAACAAACCACTTAAGATACATTCCTATTAAGAAATAATATTAATCCACTAATGATTAATAATTGTATATCTATTGTGATTTTGTAATGAATGGAGAAATATTATAAAATGCTGAGAAAATTGCTTGTGCCAATGGAAATAAGGGTTGTAGATCAAACAAGCAGTTTCAACAGGAATAGTCCCCTTCACAGTTCCCTGCACCATCTTGAATGGTAACCGTACCTTTGCATTGAAGCGAGACGAACGGTGAGCTTGCAATGATAGAGAYATGTGAATAATTGTCCAAGGTGTTAAAAAAGGTCTCTATCATTGCAAGCTCACTGTTTGTCTTGCTTCGATGCAAAGGTACGGTTACCTTTCAAGATGGCGCAGGGAACTGTGAAGTGGACTATTGAACAAGTGACCTGATCCATGGGAACAGTGGCGGTTGAAGTAATAGATCAAAAACGAGTGTGTGTTTGATCAGGGCATCCAAACACTGACAAACAGATGAAAGCATGAGGCCATTAGGCTGAGTGCTTTTATTGTTTTGAGGTTTTTGGATGCGCTGATCAAACACAAAGCACAATTTTTGAACTGACTTCTCAAACTCTGATTTATTTGTTCTTGAATCTCATGAGACTAAAAATTCGTTCGCAATTATTCGTTCATTAGTCAGTGTTTTGATCAGTGTCTTGATCCGTTTTTGATCAAGTATCAAGGTGTGTGCATGTGACTATAATGCAAAGTCGCCATTGGTCATTGACCTCATGAATTATTAATGGTTTTGAGAAGAAACTGCCCAAAATTAGTGATCATCCAGTTGTTAGAAATGACTAGAATTTTTAATTGACAACTGGATTTGCAGAGATGGCTGTCCAGCTGAGGGGCAAAATGCTTGTCCTGAGAGTATTTGATGCATAAAAGAAAGAGATTTCTCAATGCTTTTTAGTCAATTATTTTTCCATTCATATACTATCATTATTTTGGTCATGGAAAAAACGCTGACAAAGATTTTTGCTGAACCCCTCCTACCATATTGCTTAACATGTTAATTTGTGTATTATAAATAATATTGCCATAACCACTCAAGTGTGAACAATGCCAAGATCATGATCGATTATGTTTTGAATTTCGGTTAATTCATGTGGTCACATGACATTAGTTTTCTAAAGCATTTGAATGTCAGGTGACCTCCATAACCGTTTGGAGCTCTCCAAACTGCAGTCACATAACTGAAATTCAAAACGTGATCAATCGTTATTTTGGTGGCACTAACAGTTGAGTGATTTCGGTAGTAAATCCTAAAACATGGTTGATATGTTTTAAATTTTGCACCCTAAAAGGCAAGTGTTGTGCCACTGTATCACCCTTGACACCTTATTATTCACCTCCATCTTAATTAATACATTTTCAGAACAAAGAAGACAGGAAAGGAAAAACTAACGACGTGAATGGGAGGAGTGTAAAACAATGGGATACCATTTTATGATTCATGGACACCCACAGGAAGTAGACATCCTCATCGTAATAGCTCCTATACAACCAAATCTTATATTTTTGGCTTTATATCATGAAATTCAGAAGTCTATTATGGGGAATATGATGTGATAAAACCCAACCAAATTTCAAAAACTGCAAATGCAAAACAAATGCATAGGAAACAAAGTGCATAAAACACTAGTTGCCATCAAAATATCAAAAAGAGGATACTTCAGTTTTCACTAGAAAATAATTAAGCTTAACTTATATATTGCTTAATTTTGATAATGCCGTTCTTGTTGATTTATTTGTCAAGTTTTGATGGTCGTTTTGTGAGCACTGACGTGTTGGCCGGAAGTGAAGACACATTTCTTACAAAGCAAACATCAATGAAAACCAAAGCCAAGTAATAAAAGAAGGATTATTTACTAAGAATACGCGGAATTAGTATACAAGAAACATATATTTCGATGTGGCCTGAATATTTGAGTTTTTAGCGCTGAGAAAATACTGCTTAAAGGTTTTGAATAATGAAAGCTACATTTTTGGAATCGAATCAAGATCCGATAATTCTTTTCACTAAAAAGATTTAAGAACACATATAATACTTCGAAACTACATTGTTGTGCAATATGGAAAATGAAATTTTTTGTCTATATGTACTGCTGTGAGATTGATACGTAGAAAAGATCAAAAATATTTCGTGCAAACAAGAGAAATTCGATTAAGGATCATGTGAGCACAAATTTTGAATTCTAAACTCGTCCGAATTTTATAAGATAAAAGGTACAATATCGTACAAAAACTGTTGTGTTTTGAATTGAATACGATAATGAAGTAAACAAAACTGTTCTAACTACAGAAAACTCCCCCACATCGTTCGAAAAGGCAAGAAAATTTGAGGCGGTGGGTGTGAAGTGTGAGTCGAAGGCCATGCTTTACACAGCCTAACCAGACAGATATGTTTGAAAACCACGAAAAAAATATCTCACAAACCTTCAAGCCGGTTCCTAAGACGATAACGTCATATTCTTCATCCATGGTGAGTCTGTGGTCCTAGTATTAACCTTCACAAGCACCAGGTTCTGCAAGAATTTGACGAGATATGGTGGATGTTTGTGAAAGTAGGAAGCCACACCAGTATCAGAGGAAATAAGAGAAGGACGTCCAAGCACCTTATCATGCGATATGTAATATGAGGTACGGAATAACTACCCCATGTAAAATAATGTCCCACTCTTACCAATTTATTGGAGTTTTTATTTCATTTTATCTTATTTTTTTGAGGGGCTGGGGGTATTTTTGTATTTAAAAAAACCATAGACTTCAGTTATCAAAAATTGCGATGTAATTATATTTATCAATAATAAAATATAATAATTCATATCGATATGATAAATTTATAAATTTATAATATTAAAAGGTGAAAAATGAAGTTAGAAGTCATTAAATTCAAATACTTAGTACTGAAAGGCTTCATATTAAAAAAGGATAAATTGTAAAGAAATAATTTTAAAAATTACCCCCTCCCCTCCCCTCGAAAAAAACTTTCGAGTCTGCGTTGTATTGTTTACCAATTTAATACTCTCGTATTCTTAAAGGATATATTTATAAGGAAATGAAAACCGTTTTTCATGATTTACAGATCTGAAATCCTCAGTGAAATACTGTAAGTACAAGGGGGATGAGAGGGACTAACTGGTAACCGGGGCTGATTCATGATATGCCCACACGTGTTCAGTAACAAGGGACATCATTTCGTCTTACCTAATAATGAACCGTTAGAGGTGCAAGATATGATGCAACGTGGACTTGTTTAGATGAAAAAAATACACCCTAATATGTAGTATATCCTTTATTTATCCACTATAGTGGACTTGTGAATGCAATACGCATAGACATTCTTAATCTTTATGTAAAAAATAAGTAGTTTTGAGTGTTAAAACACGATTTAGTTTCCCCACGTGCGCCGATGGATTGAGAAGCACTCTCTCTGTTCCATGTTTTTAACTACCATAACTACAAAATATTTGATTTATTTTGTCAAACGACATGGATGAAAGTCTTCTACTGGGACTTCGTTGCTCAGATGATCCTTCTTCGCAAACTAAGGTCAGTATCTTTGCAGTTATTGTACGTAATATGTGTTAGTGTCGAGAGGGTTTTTGGATCAAAATTTTTACAAAGTTCAACTCATTCATTTTATCTCAGTTATCTTTAGTATTCAACTTAGTCAGGTTTTTAATATTCAGACGCTGCAGTATTTCGAGCAGTTGAAGAATTCTCCCGAAGGATGGAGGATCTGCGGAGATGCGCTAATTCGAGGGATTTACAGGTACGAAAACACTTAGATTCACAGCTTCAATATTCCAAAAAAAATCGTCGTAGTTGATAGAAAGTACAATAAAACTGTCGTTAGACGAGACGTAATTCACTTGTTATCAATTTTTCTGTTTGGCGTCACTATTATAAAGATTTTCTTTTTTGTCTTCGTTGTACAGATTTAAAAGCTTAAATCACATTAAGCACTATTGTTGTTATAAATAATTATTAACAATTGTTATTTAATAGCATCTTAGCATCTTTCCTTGAAAAAAAAAATTATTGTTACTGATTCTAGTGATGGAATTTCTCACATTTATGCATGCATAATAGAAAACTTGTGCTGGTGCTGTATGCAGTTACATAGAGCACGCAGGAGAAGCATGACACATAGCTTAGTGCTTCTCAACATTTCTAAACTGTACACAGCCAAGCAAGCAAGTTTTCCCACAGCACCATATTTTTCCCATCTAAAAAATCAGCCAGTCAGAGAAAAATGTCAGTGGCAGATCGGGGGGGAGGAGGGGGGGTGATGTCCTGAGGTGCACCGGACACCCCTCTAACGCTGTAATTACATTTAGCTTTCTTGGAGCAAAAGAAGCATTTACGATGCATAATATTTTTACATATATTTCTTTATTTGGGATGCCCCCTTGACACATCCCTGGATCCACACCCTAAATGTCTGGTCACAATTTGCACTTGTCTGGAAAACCTCTATTAGGCCTGTCCTCTCCATAGCGAGCTCACATGTTAATCAGTCGTGTATAAAATGCTGTATATTTGAACTAAAATCTATGTCGCAAGTTGTCCAGGCATCGAGCAGCCATTGTGCATGGGTGCATGGTAGCATGGGTGGTGTTCGCGGCTAACGCGTCGTCTTTTACCGCTGCGAGTCCAATGGGTTGGGTCGCTGGTTCTAGCCCAGTGGTTGTCACATGTGAATTGAGTTTGTTTGATGTGTTGTTCTCTCCTATGCTACAAGGGTTTTCTCCGGTTCTCTGGTTTCCTCCCTCCATAAAAATCAACATGTGAGTTGTGTTGTATGTTGTAAATATAGAATGTAGTGTGTGTGGAGGGAACCTCACGGAAGAGCCCTGTATTGGGAGTGGTGGTTGTAAAGTATTATTATTATTATTATTTTTAGCCTGCCTAGCTTCCTCTCCCGAATTGGATCAATAACAGTGTCGTTTCTCTTCTAGTGATGATAATGTCAAGTTCTTTTGCTTTCAAGTCTTGGAACATCACATCAGGACAAGGTGACATTCCCACTCTACGATAACATTTTAATTGTCTTAAAGTTAAACTTGTGAGCTGAGTTTATATTTTAAATAATCGTTCTACCTTTACTAGGCATGGTATTTCAGAACTTCCTGCTCAACAAGCGTTGCGAAAGATTCTGATGACCTGGTACCATAATCAGTGTTCTGGTGAGAAAGACAAGAGCTTCATATGTAACAAGGCAGCTCAAGCATTTGCCTTGACCTTCGTTGTTGACTATCCTCATCAGGTAACACAATACTCCATACAGTTGACCAAATCTCATACTATAAAGAATTCATGGTACAAAGTGTGCTATGCCATGACTTTGAGGAAGCTTTGACTGATCATATTTGAATGGCTGAAATTGATCATTGATTTTCTGTACTGTGATTGGTAAATAGGATGTAGTCATAGTAGGCCATACACATGATGGCATCATTCTACTACAATTACCAGAATGTGTTGTAGTTTTATTTAAATCTTTATTGCCTCAAAGAAACAACTTATATAGTAAGAAGAGCTGATATTAACTATCATTTACTGATGAAAAGTGTTGCAAGGATCCTTGTTGTGGTATTATGCAATTGGAATATTTCTTACTCATGAGATGAATATACATATCCATGGCTTGGGCAGTGAAGGTGTAACCTTGGTTTAAATAGGAATGTCAACCATTTCTATCTTGCTCAAATTCAACATAGTTTGAACCAGCTATGATGATGATGATGATGATGATGATGATGGTAATAATAATAAATCTTTATTTATACTCACTAAAATACATGATAGCACACAAGTGCTAGTTTGAGCGAGCTAAAGAATATAAATTTAATAGCTATCTATTTCCCCCCAGCCTGCTCTCAGTCTGACCTTTAGCTCAGCTGGTAGAGCATCGGTAGTACAATTCCGAAGGTCGTGGGTTCGATTCCCAGCGAGGTCGGAAATTAATTCCAAGGGCTTTCGCCTGGAATAACCTCGTTCCCAAGCACTATAGCTTATCTATATTTCTATCATCATGTATTTCATAAGTGCCATGTGGTCCACATATTCTCATCTTTGCATCATATTTACCGCTACCTAACATCTATTTCACCCCGGCCTGCTCTCAGTCTGACCTCTAGCTCAGCTGGTAGAGCATCGGTAGAACAATTCCGAAGGTCGTGGGTTCGATTCCCAGCAAGGTCGGAAATTAATTTTTCCGAATTTAATTCCAAGGGCTTTCACCTGGAATAACCTCGTTCCCAAGCACTATAGCTTATCTATATTTCTATCATCATAAATTTAATAGCTATGATAAGAATATAAAGAAAAAAAAAGGAAAAAAAAGATACACAATAACATAAATATATAGATACATAAATATAATGATTGAACTTATTAATTATCACTAGAAAAGGAAAGATTATTTAGCCCTTTTGTCTTATCATTGTTTTCTTGTTTGCTTGATATTCTTTAGTGGCTGTCATTCTTCAGAGATCTGCACCAGACCCTTGGTTCTGGACCTGTAGCTGTTGACTTATATCTCAGGATCTTGAAAGCTATTGATGAAGAAGTGGTTGACAAAGATGTTGCAAGAACTCCACAGGTTATGGTGAAGAATAGAACTACCTTTATTTTCAATTTTAAGATTTAAGATTTGATTTCTGTATGCACACAGTTTTTTCTCTTGCTATGTACATGTCTCATTCCCTTGAGGATGGGATTACTGTATGTGTTAGAAGTTCATTCCATGCTAACATACCACATTACACATCCGAAGATAATTATAATCTTTTGGGTGACATGTTTTTGACAGCCATTCTCAATCACACGCGCTGCTCTAGCGATTGTTTCTGTCGCGACAAAGAAGCTTTTGGTGGACGTCAATCAAGGCATTTCCATAACATTCTATAGGCACATGCCCTTATAGCTTTGTGTTTTCCAACGATGTTATGGAAACGCCTTGCGATTGACATCCACCAAAACCTTCTTTGTCGTGACAAAAACAATCGCTAGAGAATGTGTGCGATTGAGAATGGCTGTAAATGTATTTCTGTTGTTTTCTTTTCTATTCAGGAGGCTGATAGGAACACAGCAATAAAAGACTTCATGAGAGAACATTGTATCCCAGACATAGTCAACTCCTGGTTTGAAATCTTGGTAATTAGATTTCTAGCATTTCATGAATGTCTCATATTTAAAAGCATAAAGGCATATTTAAAGTTTAAAAAAAATTATATTATAAACTATGTAGTGTTTTTTATTTTTTTCTAGAAAACTTATGAAGGAACTGACCCAGCGCTGACATGCTTGTGTCTAGAAGTAGTGAGTTCATATGTGGCATGGATTGATATTAGTCTCATAGCAAATGAAAAATTTATTAGGTAAGTTTAGAATGGACTAACAGACAGACTACAAACTGACTGACTGACTGACTGACGGATTGACTGACTGACTCACTGATTGGCTGTTTTACAGAGTGATTGACTGACTTGTCGACCATTTGACAGAGTAATGGATTGACTTATTGACCATTTGACAGAGTGACTGACTGCCTGATTGTGTGACTGACTAATTGACCATTTGACAGAGTGATTGAGAGCTTCTAGTTGGTTCTCTCCTGTGCTTTGAGGGTTTTTCTCTGGGTTTACTGTGGCCCTCGTTCCATGACCAAATTGGAATTGAGAGGTTTTTGTTAGTCTCTGGCTATTAAGTGCTATCCTTATAATAACAGTGATTTATCTATTTTTATTTGAGTGAATGAATAAATGGATGAATGAATGAAATACTCCTCTTATTTCAGTGTATTATTGCATCTGATAACAGTAGATGTGTTACGTGAGAGTGTCTGTGACTGTTTTCATGGGATCATCAGTAAAGGAATGGATCCATTAGCCAAGACAGAACTAGTAGAATCTCTTGTAAGGGTGCTGGAAAGTGCTGGTGTAATGGCTCCCTCAGAGGTATGTACAATAAAAATTCAGCTTAGAACATGCTACAAGCATGAAAGAAAAAGGTTGGGCTTCTCTTGATTCTTCTTCCATGCTTTAGTCTGTCATGGTGCTATATATATATAATATATTACAGGACCAGGTTGTACGAAGGGTAGATAGCGCTATACAATGGATAAACCCTTATCCAGCAGATAAATCAATACTGTTATCCAATAAATAAGATAAGATTTATCCATCAGTATAGTGCTATCTATCTTTTGTACAACCAGGCCCTGAATAGAGCATGAAAAAACCTGTTTTCTTTGTTAAGAAGAAGTGCTTGTCTTGTGAGAAAAATGCAACATGGCCTCAAAAGTTACTGTAAATTGTACTTCCTCTTGAGAACAGTGTGAAAAGCACTCACATGTATATGGCTCACACTTCTTTTGTGCTTTCATCACTTTCTGCATGCTGTATTACAGAACGTAGCATAAGGAAAACGTCTTTTATTTATTTTGTTACAGAAAGAAAACAACTTATTGGCGTTTTCAGTGCTGTTTTCTTTCATTTCTTTGAAAAGCTAGATAGCATCAGCACCAGGCACTATTCACTAATACAGCACAATTCTCAACCAATCAGAGTGCTTGTATGTGGTTTTATATAGTAATGTAATAACTCAATGGTAAAGGTTTTATTATCATTTCAGGATGTGGATAATGATTATCTGGCTAAACTTGCAAGATTAGCAAACTGTATAGGAATACAACTAATCAACAGCTATACCAAGTAAGTACGAATTTGGGCTGCCTGTGGACATCACCACAGGATACCCATCACCTTCATTAAAATCTGGCTTTGAAATTAGTTTGTGTTGAGTAGACACATGGTCTGAAATAAAAAACATTACGCTCAATGTAGAGTGGTCTATTGATGAACAAATCTGATCATTAAATGCTCAAGTACAGCACTATGATGATTGATGATTTGTGATTTATATAGCACCCTTTCTATATGGATAATCAAAGGTGCTTTACATTGACCGCCATTTAAAGTGGTCATCCAAGCAATGTGAAAGTCTAACCATTTGTATATTTAATTACAAAGGCTGCTCTCTCTCCTCAGTTATCTTTAGTCCAATGCTCGACCAACTGAGCCAACTGGTTGGCGGCACTATGACAGTGATAGTATGACATGTCTACTATAGAGTAATCTTATTGCTATATCTAAGTACTGTATCTGTAGACTTCATAATAGAGATATAATATTTCTAAACATCCATCAGGTTATTGAAGTCCAATAATGAAGCAGCTGCTAACGACACGCTCCAAGCCATTGAAAATAAACTTCCTCTCCTGTACAGGTAATTTTTTAATATTTTTCATTCAGTAACAATTAAATATTATTACTATTTGTAATTTCATATCCCATGAAATCTAGGCTCAGACCAGGTCAGAGGAATTAAACTCTCTTAACTTTCTTTGTTTTGAGGAGGCAGCATGGTCGAGTGGTCATAGCGTCGGTCTCGCAATCCGGTGATGCCAGGTTCAAGTTCCGCTGTGGCCACTAGCTGAGACTGTATTTGTCCTGATTCCTGATTAGTTCAGATTCAGTTTCTCGACCATGCTTGTAAATAGCCAACTGGTTTGCCTCCTTGCCAGTTGGGATTCTTAACACACTTTATGTTTCTTTGATCATTCATTTCAGTTTATTAATTGTAGGAGGGCCATAATGGAAACTACTGGGTTACCAGTAATGTATGTCACCCTCGTTAAGTAAAGTCAATTTATTTTTTTATTTTTTTGTTTGTTAGGTTTCTTGGTGATGAAGATGATGATATCTCCCATACCATTAATGGTTTTGCATATTCATATCTGTTACTCCTRAAACAGGTGATTTCTTATGTTTGCCCATTTATTTTCTGTTGGTTCAAAGATTCACATAATGTGACATTATTAAACCCTTTGTCTTTTATACATAGGCTTCTTCATTGAGTGCTCAACAAAAACAAAACTTAAAGGTAAGGCACATTTCACACTCTACAGTGTGATTAATGAAGTTGCTAATACTGTAGTAAGCACAGGTGAAGCACAGGTAGAGTGAGCTGACAATGCATAGCTTCTCGTCAGTGTGACCAAGGTTTGAGTCCTACCAGGCTCTGATCTCAGGAGATATTCTCGATAGGGATAATTAACTTTTTATATCTCCTTTCACATCATAATGCAAATAAATTAATTGGTTATTATTTTTAAACAATATTAACCCAATATTGGCAGGGTATCGGGCAACAACGTACCATCATCCTACTGACATCCTTCAGATACCTTCTTATCAGTTACCAACAGCCTACTGATGCTCTTTAGCTTTCTAAGCCTGTACCAATACTCATGGTCTTAAAAGAACTTAAAGTAATAATAGTACCTTTGTATGTGTTGATAATCTTTAATGAGGGAAACCTACTCACTAAGCGTGGTTTTCAGTAGTGCCCTAAATAAGAATATACAACGACTAATTTTACAATAATACAATTAAAGAAATATAAATTAATGTCTGTAAATCAGGCTAGACTTTCCAGATAAGAAGGTTAAGCGATAAGCCAATTATATTTATCAAAGATATCTGGCATATTAAAATCACAAGAACTTTGGACAAAGTAATTTTAAACTACTTTTCTATTTAAATCTTCAGGGTATATTGTATACAGTGATAAAAAAGATGAAGTATGATGAGTCCTATAACTTTTCTCGTGAGGTAATGGCATCAGCTGATTAGGCTTTTATTAGTATGTATGATAAATTATGATTAGCCTGCATGCAGCCAGAAGCAAACCCCAGTTAGTAAATTATTACCCAAAAGCTTATTGTCAATCCTCAATAGGGTAGAAAGTTATGAGATTAGGGTTCGTGCATGACCTTTTAGGCCTAGGGCAAACGTCGACCTTTCCATGCACAGAACTCATTAAAAACAATGGATATCAGGTGATAATGAGGCGGCATTCTTTGATGTAATTAAGTTCGGTGCATGGAAAGTTCAACGTTTGCCCTAGGCCTAAGTCCTTGAAATGCCCTTGAGTTTGTTACAAATCTTGAAAAGCTCTCGAAAAAAATTGTTAAGAAATTGTTTTTTTGTAGTCGCACCAGCAATAATGCTAATGAGCTGGTTGAACAAGCTTTGACCAATAAAAATGGAATGTTGATGGCCATGAATAACAATGCTGTTTATATCTGAAATAACCCTTTTTGTGTGTGTTTTCCACTTAGGATGAAGATGAAGTCATGTTTATGGAATTTAGAAAAGAGATGAAAGTTCTATTTGATAACATAGCCCAACAGGTAAGAGAGAAGATATGTCCATTCATATTCATTATTTTTGATGGCATAGGATATATTCAGAGAAGGCATGTTTTTTCCTTGGTAATAACATCAGGTTTCTTACTTAAGAGCTGTTGCCCGTAAATACCAAAAATTGCAGGACAGTCGTGATTCGATTTTTCACGACTGTCCGGCAATTCTCGGTATTTAATTACAGACAACAGCTATTAATTTCTCATCAATTTTTAAACCTTGTATTGTCTTTTATGTGTGTTCACACAACCCCAAAAACGTTTGACATTAATATCATGCCAAAATAAAGATCATCTATCTGTCTACATTTAAATATAAGTTTTCTGGTCATAGATACCAATTTGTATGTTCAGTGTTGTTCACACTGATTCTCTTATTTGTTTTTAGGATGCTAATCTGGTCCTTGTTATCGTACACAATGTCTTGAATTCTACATTAGAGTAAGTCTCAACATTTTATGCTGTCACAAACAGTTACAACAATTATTACCCTTTTTACTCAGTTGATTAACAAAAAAATTAACCAATTTGTTCGCATTTTAGTTTACTCCATTGACCAACTATTATCTGTTTGACGTCGATCTTCACATGAGCCAAACCTAATGACATTAAAGAAGACCGCCTCGTTATCCATCATTTCCATTAGGTTTAACTCATGTGGAGTTCAACATTTGACCTATATTCAATATTACATATACACATTCACTAATAAAATACTACCAGAATCTGAAAAAGACTTTATCTGTTTTTCTTCAGGAGATTGCAAGAAGCTAAGTTCATGGATGTAGAAATAGCTGTAAGACTTGTATTTATGCTTGGTGAAGCAATCCCTGTAAGTATAATGGTATATAGGTGATATACTTAAGGAATATATAATGTGTGTGCATCTCTGTACTGTGATATAAACAAGCTGTGGAGCTGTAGAGCTTGAGAGAAGCAACCTTATGAGGTGCTTGAGGTGTACCCGAGCAAGCATGTCTCTGTCCTCTGTTATAAACACCGTAGCCAGCCAATCAGTGCATGCATTATATTTCAGATATTTTATGAATAATTGTAAATGAAGTCATAAGAACAACTAGACATAGTTAACAAATATCAAGTTGAGTATGATTATAAGAACACAATGCGTTGTGTCATTTCCTTAATAGTCAACATTATGAAGTGAAACTTTGCCTTCTCATGAATATCAAGGTGTGCTGTCAATTTTTTGAGTTTATTAACAACTCCTTGGTTCAAAGGTTGACATGACCTATTAGTGGAGGAGTTTCCCAGTAATGACCAATATTTTATTTCAAGCATTTGAACCACTTCACTAATCTAATCATATCTTCATTTGGTATTTTATATAGGCACAGCAGTTATACACAGATTCATCAAGATTTGGTGCTCTACAGCAAATGCTGAGTGCTGTAAGTATACCACTTGTGAAAATAACCAACAATGAGAGGGAACATAGCAGCTCTAACAAGATCTAACCCAAATGGAAACAATATTGTGATCAACAAAACAATAAAACGAGCCGACAATAAAACAATTGTTTGTTTTGGCCAATCTTGACAGTACTTATAAGTGGGTGCAACATTACTAAATGAGGAAAGTGTTTTAATTTAGTAATTGTTATTAATGATTATTGTCATTCAGCTTGTTTCAAGTCGTGTCTCATACTATCAACATTCATCAGTATCACTAATGGTGAGTAGAACTTCCAACTTTCGACATTGAAGCTCGTCTATCATTCCCTTGAGAATAAGATTTTCTCTTCCATATTAATGTACAGTATTCTCAAAGAGTGCTAAACAAAAGAAATAATACTCAAGGGAATGACACATGTTCTGAGTGGGGAAACACTGATGGTGCTTTTGTTTGATTTCATTATTCATGATAAAGTTTGTCACTAAAGTTTTTTGTTATTATTTCAGTATTTTGAAACTGTTGTGAGATATGAAAAATTCTTCAGCTCTAATCCAGAGCACATTCCTACTGTTCTTGTAAGTATTTCTTCCCATTTTTCTATTTCTTTCTTTGCATTATTATTTCTCATTGATTGGCATTCATCATTTTAATTAATATCAACAGATAGCATTCCTTGATGAGCGAGGGCTGCGTAACGACAACAGCTTGGTTAGGAGTAGATGCTGTTATCTTCTCTCTAGGTTCATTAAATCACACAAGTAAGTTGTCTTTCATCCATTCAATCATTTTATTCATTCAGTCATTCTTTCCATTTATCTAACATCTATCTGTCAAACCATCCAGCCAGTCAATTCCATCCATCTATCCCATTGATCCATCTATCCAGACCATCCAGCCAGTCAATCCCATCCATCTATCCCATTGACCCTTCTATCCAAACCATCCACCCAGTCAATCCCATCCATCTATCCCATTGATCCATCCATCCAAAATATCCTTCCAGTCAATCCCATCCATCTATCCCATTGATCCATC